TAACTGGCTTCCTTCATTTGTTTGTTGGATTTAAAGGTACAAATGACGCTGAATAAAGAATAAGAAATAAAATGAACTGAAAGGTGAATAGGACACAGCAGACGAAAGAGCCTTCACTAATTCCCTTTTCCAGACCTTTGGAAGTTCAATTTAATTCAAAAATCCCAAAGGCCCCAGAGGTGAAGGGAGCCTCTCTCCCCCCCCTCGGCCTTCTGGAAAGGGGTCAAAATGGGGCTCTGGGGCTTTGCTTGGGGGGCAGAGAAAAGGATGCAGCTGTGGGGCTTTTGATGAATTTTTCCCACTGAATTTTAACAGTTCCTGCTATACTCTTAATTGTATAGCCTATTTTCGTGCTTTGATGTTTTATCTGTACACCACCCAGAGTTCCTCTGTGAAAGAAACAGATAGTTTTAAAAGTTGGTAAATAAATCAATAAATATTGATTTATTAATTTAAAATATTATATTGAAATGTTATATAGTATATAGATTATATTGAAATATATCTATATACTGGGCAAGACAGAGACCTTGCTGGATTCCTCCCCCCACCCAGAAAAGTATAATATTTGGTATAATATTCTGGAAAGAAGTTTTTCTGGGCAGGGGGAACTTGGGACCTTGGGAAGAGAAGGAAGATGATGGGACTGATGGGAAGGAGGGGAATCTATTTCTTCCTTTGTGATTGTTTCATTGTCATCGTTGTAGAATTGCAAACTTTTTAACTGTAATTTAATTTTAAAGCTTATTTGTTATACATTTTTATTTAGGGGTGATGTTATATCCTACGCCATCCAGATCCCCACTTTAAGGGAGGTGAAGGGATTAGGAGTATCAATAAATAGCAGTAAGTACCAATGAATAAATTTCGTAGATCGGAGAGCACAGAATACATAAGATATGATGATAACCTTTATTGTCATTTTTTTACTGTGGGCACAACGGCACACATCCAGAATGAAACTTAGTTGCCCGCTCGCTCTCAAAGTGAAAGACGTACATGACACACCCTAAAAACATACTACATACAACATATGTACAGACCCACAGCCCTACATATACATAACGAATAAATATTAAATACTGTCCATCTTGAGTATATAATGGAAGGAGGAACCTTGAGAGGGGCAAATCTTTCTCCAGGAGAGTCCTAATAAATGAAATGAAAAGGGGGGGTCCCTGCATTTCCCCCCCATGGAACTTCCCCTCCCCCACTCACCTCTCCGGCCAACCACGGAATTGCTCTGGGAAACCTCGTAGTTGTTTCGGCAGAAGCGATCCACGGAGGCCCTCCGGTACTGCAGCTTGTGCTTATCTCTGTTCAAAGCCTGGGCACTCGCCTTCCCCAACGCCGTGACGGCCTCGTACTCCCCGCGGGCGCTGTCGAAGCGGAGATACTCCTGCCGGTCGTAGAAGAGCCTGTCCAGGAACCGCACCCGCCGCGTCCCGTTGAGGAAGAAGCACTCCTGCTTCTCCTGGTACAGGAAATGGGCTGCGGGGAGGAGGAGAAGGAGGAGGAGGAGGAGGAGCGTCAGGAGGGACTCCAGGGCCCATAGTTCCCAGCCTCTCCTTGAGGAGGGACCCAGGCTTATCAGAGGCGGGGAGGGAAACCTGCCGACGGAGACTGCCGGAAGGCGCCCCCTGGAGGAGGGATGGGGAACCGTCGGTCCCAGCGGGATCCCCCCCTTGGTGGGGGTCGGGAGAGGGGAGGAAAATGAGGGAGGGGAGGAGCTTCCTGAGGGACCGCCTCCTTCTCCC